CACACACACACACACACACACACACACACACACACACACACGCATATATATATATATATATATATATATATATATATATATATATATATATATATATATATATATATATATATATATATATATGTTTGGGAGACTGGTACCATTCCCCCTGACTGGAAAAGGGGCTTGATCATCCCTATCTGGAAAGGGAAAGGGGACCAAAAGGACTGTGGCAACTACAGAGGTATTACATTGCTCAGCGTACCAGGCAAGGTCCTCGCTCATCTGCTTCTGGCACGAGTGCGCGACCACCTATTACGAGCACAGAGACCTGAGCAGTCTGGTTTTACACCCAAGAAGTCAACTATAGACCGTGTCTTAGCACTTCGTGTCCTTGTGGAACGCCGACTTGAGTTTCAACTGGGTATGCTTGCAGCTTATGTTGATCTCAAGAAGGCTTTCGACTCAGTGCACCGGGAGAGTCTCTGGAGCCTACTGGGTCTCTGTGGATCCCCCCTGGAATTATTGGTTTGCTGTCTGGCCTGTATACAGATACTGAGAGTGCTGTCAAGTGTGGGGAGGGCATCTCTGCCTTTTTCCCGGTGTCTGCCGGGGTGAGACAGGGATGTGTCCTGGCCCCAACCCTTTTCAACACTTGTATGGACTGGATACTTGGCCGTACCGTGAACCGTAGTTCCTGTGGGGCATCAATTGGTAATTTCAAGGTCACAGACCTTGACTTAGCCGATGATGCAGTGATTCTAGCGGAGACATTAGAAGTCCTGGAAGTAGCTCTCGAGGCGCTGCATGAGGACGCAAAGCCATTGGGACTCGCGGTCAACTGGACCAAGACCAAGGTTCAGGAATTTGGGGACTTTTTGGATGTCTATGTTCAGTCTGTGCATGCCTGTGGCGAGAACATTGAGGTCTTGGATAGCTTCACTTATCTTGGTAGTGTAGTGCAGAGCGACGGAGGTTCCGACCGGGAAGTCACTCGACGACTCGGACTGGCCTACGGCGTTATGGACTCACTCAATAGGAGTATTTGGCGCTGTCGGTATTTGACTAGGGGAACTAAGATCAGGCTCTTCAGAGCACTGGTGATCCCGGTCTTGCTCTACGGGTGTGAGACCTGGACACTGAACAGTGCTCTGAAAGCCCGTCTTAACTCCTTCGGTACTAAGTGTCTTCGCAGAATCATGGGGTATACCTGGAAGGACCATGTGTCCAATCAGAGGATACTCCATGAGACTGATTCAAGACCTATTACCAGTCTGATACGAGAGCGCCAACTTCAGCTCTATGGACATGTGGCTCGTTTCCCTGAGGAAGATCCGGCTCATAGGGTCATCTCCGAGAGGGTTGACCCAGGCTGGAGAAGACCAAGGGGAAGGCCACGGAACTCATGGCTGAAGCAAGTCGATCAGATCTGCCAAGATGTACTGGGAGTGGGAAGGAATGCTGCATGGAGGCTCGCTCGGAGGGACCCCAGGAGGTGGAGGCAAAGGTTGGGCGCGGCAAAGCGCAGCCATGCGTATGCCCCCTTATGATGATGATGATGATATATATGTATATATATGTATATATGTATATATATACATATACACACACACAAACACATATACATATACATATACATATACATACATATATATATATATATATATATATATATATATATATATATATATATATATATATACATTTACATATACATATATATGTATATATATATACACACACACACAAACACACACACACACACACACACACACATATATATATGTGTGTGTGTGTGTGTGTGTGTGTGTGTTAGAGCACTGGACTCCGACCCTTATGGTTAAAGCGGCAGTCGTAGAAATGCCTGCGCTCCGACTGCTGGCTCGAGCCCGATCTCAGAAAACGACATATCGCCTTGAGAAGTCAAACGCAGGTGTCGTAGGGGAAGTCACCGCCGTGGCACAAGTGTTAGCGCACCGAACCACGGTTGATTAGGAAGGGCATCCAATCAGGCAAGGGGGGCGCAGCCATATAACCCTTCAATAGTGTATTGTGAGAGGCCTATGCCCTACAGTGGAATAAATGGCTGTTGAAAAAAAAATCTGTGTGTGTGTGAATACACACAAACACACACATATACATATATGTATATATATATATATATATATATATATATATATATATATATATATATATATATATATATGTGTGTGTGTGTGTGTGTGTGTGTGTGTGTGTGTGTGTGTGTGTGTGTGTGTGTGTGTATGTGTGTGTGTGTGTATGTATATGTGTGTGTGTGTGGACATATATGCAAGTATAGGTCTATTCTGCCCTAGGATCCCTTACAGAGCGGGGTGCTTCCCTGATTGCAAAGGGAAGCGTGCATAATCCTTGCCCAGCGTGCCACCGTTGTGTTAGTTCGCCCCAGCTAGAGAGGGAAAGGTGGTGTCTAAAAAAAAATGTAGTATAATTACTAAGAAGTTGATTGTCTAAACGATGATTGTTATATAATACTAGGTAAAACTTTACTTAAATATAATATATAATACAACTAGTAATGATGCCTCACTAAAAAAAAAAT